CGAAGGCGTAGGCTTAGGAAACAAAAAGAAAATCAAAAAAGAGAAGAGTGTAGCATGCAAGTAGCATAGGAATATTCCTACACCGTATCGGTTGTCGACTGTGCGACTAGTCGAGGAAGCGTACGGGTAACCGTACTCGGCGACCGGAACGTGAGACGATAGTCTCGTTCGCGTCGCGTGAGCCTGCAATCTCATCCGAAGTCAAGGGCGGCGTGGTCTGCTGATCTGGACGTGAGACTGTCGTCTCGTCCGTAGACGGTGCAGATGACGCGTGCTGTTGACTGGGACGTGAGAGTGAGGTCTCAGTTGTATCTAGCGTGGGACCTGAAGATGGTTTGAGGATCCCGCTAGTAGGTTTAATAGGTCTAGCATTGAATCTCAGGTTATCCGATAGGGCACTGTCATCGACGTGTGCTGGTTTGAGACGATCAATGCTGACGATCTCGACGCGTCCATATCGATCAACCTTGAAGGTATTTTCGTGACGAGCGATCACGTGAAAAGGGCCTTCGTAAGGTTGTTGCAAAGGTTTGCGTACCGAATCTACTCGTAATAAAACATGTGAACAGGTAGATAACTCTCGAGGGAGAGCGACCTGTCGATGTTGTATTCGAGTTGACACCGGAGACAGCGTTCGCATAAATGCAGACAGTCGTTGGACGTAGTCTGATTTAGCGAAATTAGGTCTGCTCCGTGGTGTGAAGAATTCCCCGGGCAGACGCAATGTTGTGCCGTATACAAGTTCAGCGGCGGAACATTGGATATCTGCCTTTAAACTCGTTCTGATACCTAAAAGAACGAGCGGTAGGGTTTCGTACCAGTCGTCGTTTTCGTGTGCTCGAAGAGCACTTTTAAGTTGACGGTGAAACCTTTCAACTAAACCGTTTGAAGCTGGATGGTAGGCGGTAGTGCGTATTCGTTCCGTACCAAGCAGCCGAGTAAGTGAGGAGAATAGTGCGGACTCAAATTGTTGTCCTCAGTCAGTCGTGACAGTCGAGGGACAACCATATAGAGCTATCCATCGTTCTACGAAGCGGTGAGCAACTGTCTCCGCCTTGATAGGCGTGATGGGTATAGCTTCGGGCCATCTGGTGAAGCGGTCGATGCACGTGAGTATGTGATCATACCCGTGCGATGGTGGCAGTGGTCCTACAATGTCTAAGTGAACATGGTCGAAGCGAGCATCAGGCGTAGCGAATGTACCGAGGGGGCGGCTATGTGCCTGTGCACTTTTGATCGTTGACATTGTAAGCATTGCTTAGCCCACATACGAACATCTTTATTCATGGACGGCCAGACGTATCGTGCAGCGATGAGGCGTAAAGTAGCTGCGATACCTGGGTGAGATAATCCATGCAGGGCATCGAATACGAGACGGCGATAAGCGGAGGGTACGATGGGTCGAGGAAGACCGGTAGACGTATCACATAGAATGGTGCCAGAAGTCGTGGCTAGAGGTACTTCCTGATACTGAAGGGACGTAGAGTGTGGTGCTTCTGTACAGCTGGGATCGTTTGCTTGGGCAGCGGCCATAGCAGGAAGATCGAGCACCGGCAGGGTAACTGCATTCATTTGGATTCGTGATAGAGCATCGGCAACACAGTTCGATTTGCCTTGGATGTGACGAAGGTCTGTCGTGAACTGAGAGATATAGTCCAAATGTCTGCACTCTCGTGGTGAGTAGCGGTCAAACTTGGTATGCAAAGCATACGTTAAAAGCTTATGGTCGGTGAATAAAATGAATTGACGTCCTTCTACTGCGTGCCGAAAATGTTTGATGGCGCAGTAGGCTGCTAGTAGCTCGCGACCAAAAGCGCTATATCTCGTCTCCGTGGTAGTAAGGCGTCGTGAGAAGAACTCGAGAGGTTGCCAACTACCGGAGATGTTTTGTTGCATGACTGCTCCTATAGCGACATCGGATGCATCAACCGCTATACTAAGCGTGGCTGATGGATCGTGATGGGCGAGAAGAGTGGCTTGCGCAAGAGCCGTTTTGATTTCAGTGAATGCAGTACGTGCAGAATCGTTCATTTCCAATCTGCGTGGGCTGCCGCGTAATAAGTCGGTTAGTGGTCGTAACCGTTCTGCCGCGTGTGGGATGAAACGACGGTAGAAGTTAACCAAACCGAGAAAAGCCTTCAGTTCCTTGAGTGAGGACGGAACGTTGTACTCCTTTATTGCTTGCACTTTGTCCTCACAAGGTAAAATACCCTCTTGCTTGATAACATGACCCAGAAATATGATTTCTCGTTTACCTAACTCGCATTTGTCTGGGTTAACTACTATTCCATTATCCGAAAGGCGTTAGAATAATAGCGTAAGATGTTGATAATGTTCATCTACGTTTGATGATGCGATTAACAGGTCATCAATATAGACGTGAACAAAATCGAGGTCTCGTACAATGCTATCGTTAAACCTTTGAAAAGTTTGAGCAGCATTCCGTAATCCAAATGGCATTCGTAGGAACTCAAACAAACCGAAAGGAGTCGTGATAGCAGTCTTTTCGATGTCTTCAAGAGCGACTGGGATCTGATGATATGCTCGTACCAGATCGATCTTAGAAAAGATAGTCGTGCCCTTGAGCGATGCCGTGATGTCATGTATGTGGGGGATGGGGTAGCTATCAAAGCGCGTAACTACGTTTAGAGCTCGGTAGTGGCCGCATGGTCTCCAACTAACCCCATCTTTTTTGCGCACCATGTGTAGAGGAGAGGCCCATGGACTGTGAGAAGGACGAATAATACCAGTAGCTAGTAAATTGTCAAACTCACGCTTAGCAAAAGCTAATTTGTCCGGTGCCAGTCGGCGAGGTCGTGCCGTGACTGGCGGTCCGCGGGTGACTATGTGGTGTACCACACGATTGGTCACCGATGGAAGCTCCTCGAGTGGTTTAGTGAGTACGGGGAATTTCTCGAATAAAGCGTGGAATTTATCGTCACGCGAGTAAAAAGTGCCGAGGATTCGGTACGCGTTCATGTGGCCTTTACAGCCCATGAATTTGCTGTTCGACGAAGTATCGATTAGCTGCAGCCTACGTGAATCGACAAGCAATTCATAGTGCTGTAGAAAATCGATACCTAGTATGGCTGTGGGAACATCAGCAATGATGAACGTCCACAGATACCGTCGTCGGTTGCCCAGGTTGACCACGAGTTGTCGTGTACCGTAGGTAGGAATGACTGAGCCATTCGCAGCGCGTAGTCGAAGCACTGTGGCTTGTGACTTGCTGCTACCTCGTGGTACAACAGAAACTTGGGCCCCAGTGTCTACTAGGAACCTAGCGTTTGTGCGATAATCGTGCACATAGAATAGGCGACCAACCTGGGGTGAAGGGCCGGCGAGTACGGCCGCTTTTACTCGCCGGCGCTGGCGTTTCCCGCCTTGTATGAGCATGGTGCTCGACAACGGCGGGCGCCAGACCCGAAGGACCTATGGAACCAGCACCAACTGTCACTCGCTTCCGTAGCCGCCTTTCGGCGTGGCCTGGAAGATGCCCTTTTTGGGCGAGTGGTGACGGGTTTGCGAGAACTTGAGCGAGCTCGGGGGACGTAGGGTTGGGGTACGTTACAACGGTCTCGAAAACTAAGACGTGTGTGGATACACCCGTCCTTGTCGCCATGAGCTGAGGAATGACCGGCGTCCAAGTCTACTTTAGGACGTGCCGTTGAAGCAACTACATAGGTATCTTTATTGCTAGTCCTCGCTAAAATTTTATCTGCTATGAGGGCTACCTGGTTAAGCGGTGAGTCCTCGAGTAGTGCCATCACAGTGGGTTGGATATGCGCTGGAAGTGACTCGAGCCATAATTCCTTAACTATCTCCGAGTCAGATGCTGTTGGTCCTGCAAGAGATTGCAGGCGCGTGAGGTGATGGCTTGGTTTAGCATCACCCAGGGGGTGACGTGCTAACAGAGTCCTCAATCGTTCCTCCCTCGATGGGAGGAAATGTCGGAGAATTGCCTCCTTGAGGCGGTCATAAACATTAGGCACGTTAGAATTGAAGACGACCTCACGAACAGCTACTAAATGGTCCCCGGGTAACGATTCGAGAGCGTAGGCGTATTTTTGCCTTTGGCTCGTGATGCGACGAGTCTCGAACTGAGACTCTATTGCAGCAAACCAGACCTCAGGGTCGTGGGGGATAAATGATACAGGTCGAAAATGAATGGCCTGTACGTCTGAGTCTATAACATTAATAGTATTCTCGCTATCCGTCATGTCGTGTATATTATATATTAAAAATTAATATGAAAATATACGACAGACGTGGATAGATAAATAATAGACTCACCAAATTGACTTCTTTGGAAGATTTGACCCGAGGTTGAGGCGTGTTCCAAACTTTGGGATCACCAATTGTAGCGTGGCGTCGAGTTGAGATTAACTGTGAACACCGCTACCAAGAAACACGTGCCAGATAAATCAGAAGGCGAGGATCGAACGTAACCAGATTTATTTCGTTGGCGATCTCGTGGTATTGAACGAATACCGAGATCGTGCCAAGGAATGGTACAAGCGAAAGCAGAAGACGGGAGTACGTGCGAACAGTACCAAAAACCGCGGAACAATGATGGAAGGTAATGGAAGCACAAAATGGCTATAATTAGCACAGTTAAACAAAAGCACATTAAAACAAACACTGGTACAGTTGGTTATAAGAATAATTGTTTTTATTAAACCAGTCGTGTTCTCGTGATAAACGTGAGTCACTACAAATGCTTCCGTTCCAATGAATGTGAGGAAATGTGCCACAATTTTATCACCATTCACACCTTTCTTTGTCATGCTCCAGATATCAAACCTTTTCAGATAATCCTCAAAAGCTTCACAAGTTGAATGAGTATCTAACTGTTCCGTCACAGGCTCCCTCGCGACACCAATATGATAATTAGGAGTATTTAAATTATGTTTAAGTTCGTAGTTTAATTGCTTCAAAACTTCAATTTTTGCCTTACAAAAGTTTTATGGGAATGTTTGGTTCAATTCCAGGTGCATATTATGGATATCAATCCAACTACTGGTTATGAAATACTCAGAGTTGAAATTATTTCATCAAGTTTCAAGGTGATCAATTGAATCTGATAAAGGAAGTAAATGTTGATACAGTCTAATGTAGTGTTTGTCAAATAGCTCAGGATTAATACTGCTTACCAGTTATTTAATTTTTATTCATAAAAGTGAAAAAAGCCATTATATACCAAAATAGACATGTTTCCACTTCACGTCTAGGATGAATCGCTAATATACTACAATATCCTGCTGAAAAGCTTATAAAATCGTAGGGGCGATGAAAATTAATTATAAACATTTGGTTGCTAATTATTGAATGACATCCATATGTTACTCATTCCTTGAGTTGTCGATAAAGATGGTCGTCATACAAATCAAATAATTGTGTAGTGCAATTCATGTGGATTTTAGTTTATGGTTTTCAATGGTTGGTTTAATACTGTTCAAATTATCCATTATGTTGTCTGAATGCATCTTTGAACTTCGGATCAAATAAATTACTTTTGGGTTGAGTTCTCGTTTTATTCTTTAAAAACGTGTCAGAGAATAAGCTTGCTCTCCATAATTTGCTCTTTAGGTAATGACGATTTGAAAAAAGTCACTTCTAGGTGAGAAGCTAAAAGCTAGAGTTAATTTATTCGTGACTTAAAATGAATAAATTAATTTCAACCTGAAGTCAAAAGACTGTATATATGAAACACTAAATATCGTGCTCCCAGTTCATAACTGTTGAGTGAATGATTTCATAAACTTCTAATTGTCACTACTTACCTCATGAAAATATACTTGAGAATTAGTGCATTTTAGAACTAGAGATGTACAAGGAATAACTTTACTTTTATGAATCCCTTCATCAGTAAAGGACTTTAGCTGCTCATGTTTTCTTTTCTTTTATTTCTTATTTGAAATTAACTATCTCTGATGCTCGAATAGTTTTCTACGTAAGAACATTTTATCGACTGGACGACTAATTTTTCTTCTCACATGATATACTACTGAATAACATAATAAGTAGGAAACCACACTTAATATGATAATCCTTTATTCCAGTTTATCATAGAATGCTATCAGCAATGAATTTTAATACTCAGACTTATGTTTTAATATGATTAGATCAGTGTATGTGCTTGGAATGGTTCAATACTCAATCTACATAGTGTAACGTGACATTATTCTGCTTTACTTATGTTAACATGTGAGGAATATAGTTCCATATTTCTTGGTAGGGGGCCGTACAGATTTTTGGATTTCATTGAAGTCATGAACTGATTTAAGTTAGGCCAACACCGAGAACCTGGAAGGACTGGACAGACATTTCGTCATGGCGTGGAACTCATCAGCAGTGCCTATCGACGACCCTTTAGGATTTCAATGAAGTTCAACAATCGCCATAACTCCATAATCACAGTTATCATGCTTTCACTAGTAACTAGCTTCGAAAGGAAATTCTCGAAGTTGGTCAATAGATTAGGCATCCGAGCGAGACTCAAATACTTGATTCGATTGCCGCATCTCTGAAGAGTCCCATCCTAGGACGAAAAGGACGTACGGTTCTCCTTCCTTCTCAATGACGGTCTCACTCAGATCGGTTTAGAATTTCAAGGAATTTCCATACTGATTGTTTTGAGTGACAAATTAATCATCTTACCGAAGAACATCAACTAACCACTTGACCGTAGCCATGTTATCCCATATGACTTACAGGAATTCTATGTCATCTTTAGTCGTGTTTATTTTCTCAATGTGAAGGTGACCTGGTCATTTAAACCAAATAATTCCGATTTAAATGTATTGAGATTTTATTCAAGTTACAGTTTATGTTAAAATGAGGCCTGATTAACCGGTTTAGAATACAATAACCAGACGGCTCCATTAAAATATTTTTGAGCTGAGTAAAACCTTATGAACCCGTGAGGGCAAGCTTTTTATACATATAATAAATAAGCAATGTTTTACAGGGTTTAGTAGACATCATTAAAGTGATTAACAGTGTCAAAAGTTAGCAATACGACTTTGCAAATACAATTTATTTCGTCTTCTGTATTCGAGAAAGGCACTTGACAGGCCTTAATATGCAGTATTGACTTTATCTACAATTAGTTTGCATAGCGGATCCAGCTCCCCATCACCTCCTGAAAATTTTCCTAAACTGAGAAAAACAAATTATTTTGCATACCAAACTGAAAATCAGTAATTTTGCAGTGATGAACAACCTCTTCATTAACTTTTATTTCGGTGATTTCATAAAAGTCACTCAAATCGTGGAGATAAGTAGTATGTCCCTCTTTTGACAATTGTTCTAGGTCACTTAACGTTGTTCTAAAATTTTGAAAGTACCTTGAAGTCCCACCAATCGGTGTTTTCTATTTTTGCATATTCCTGCAACAGGGTATTTCCCGTGCCATATATGGACTTCTGCATTTCTTGGCATTTAGTGTGTAATCGTTTACAGGTTTACGTATTGTCTAGTGGTATGTGGTTGATGACGGGATGACGAGTGTGAGTAGGAATCTGGGAGAGAAAGACAAGAGAAGGCGTGAGTAGACCCCACAGTGAAATTGGTATGCATTTATGCACACGGAATAGTTACACTTGATAATAAAGCAATCAATAACAATTAGCAATGACGTATGCATGAGGTTGAAACTGGTATATCTAACTAAGAAAACAATAACAGAAAAATCCGAAGGCGTAAAATGTATGTAGGTTGGAACTAAAGTACAGAGCCGGACAAATCAAGTTTCAGATTGTGCCTCTTGAATTCTTACATGATATCCATTCACTTTATATGCTTATTCAGGGTTCTCGGATTATGATTGATGTCAGTTCATGATGGAAAAATAACTGTAGTTTATTATCCTGACTCGTTACATTAACTCTTAATCTCAGTTCTTAACCTTATTTTGAGCGAGGTAAGGTGTAATTATTTCGCAATTATTCCGAGAACCGCTCAAGATCATCCTCGTACTTGATTTCTACCATAAATATTTGAAAAAAATATGTAGTGTGTAACTCCCTCAGATACCTGGGAGTGGCATTAGAGTGAATTCTCCAGTGATATTACACGTTCTAGTTTGATGAATGTTCAACTACAGTTGACATGGACGTGGCTGAAATCTAGGATAGAATCATTCACGTTTAATATCCAAAGTTCAGGTTAATAAACACTACAGTGTTATCAATCGCGGACTAGCGTGTTCTACCTATAAATGTTTATAAATAAGTTCTATATAAGCAGAAACGTTGCCGTTAACCACTGTTGAGACTAGTTTTGTGGTTGATTAGATCATATCTTGAAATGGAGTCCGTCCTAGATTCGCAAACCTGCATGCTGTTCTGCAGAACATGTCATCAGTAATATCAGACATCAGTACCAACGTTGTGCAGCTCATGTCTCAGTCTCAGTCCGATAGGCAAGATAATCCACGGAAACGTGATATGGGACTATGAACTTTGAATTTCCCCTTGTCATCTGGAGAGGAAATGCAGGCTATAGATGCATGTCTTTGGTAAAACACATGAGGGACAAACTTATTAGTCTACAAAAACCGTCGGGTTGTCACTTCGCATTGTAAATGGTCACACTGATGCGGTTAATGGTTGATAATCCTGAAACATCCGTGGGCTATATCTTGTCATACATCATCAAACCTGAAGCGGCCAGCTCCTTCACGCTTCATCAAAACGAGCACGCCAGACGTGCAGGTTTCGTGGCAGAACATGAAGTGTTTATTAATCTTTAGGCACACGAACACTACGGTCTTTATGTGGTGTTTGTATGAACTAATGATTCCTTTGTACTTGATGACTGCTTGATACAATACGTTCGGTTGTGCTTATCTAATACTTTTTGGTAAAATTGCGTTATTGGTGAGATTCTTTGTTTGTAATACAATTCAAATACTACTAGTCATCATACTTCATCATCAACTGTCATTGAAAAATACCTCGTGAAATTGTATGACATGGCGACGCAAGGACATTTCCACGACATGAGATAAACAATGAAGGCGTTATAGAGAGAGGATGGATAATGCAAGTGATGATTCGAAATGAAATAAATGCAAACATAAGAGACATTCATGCTAAAAGCACATGACTGTGCGTGGACTTTAACTTGACGCGCCAACTTAAACAGCGGCTTGTATTTGATGGATAAGTAGACAGCCCGGCGTTCACTTAGACAAATAGTAGAGGATATGGCGTCCATTTTGACAACAATGATCCAATCTGACATAAATTCTGCACATTTCAAACATATATTGCGCCATTTCCTCACGGTATTCTGTAAAACAAACTTCTGTGCATTTCCCCTTTATCCCCGCCTTATTGTTATGTAGAATGTTCTCTTTATTTTCCTCTTCAGGTTTACTTGGGAAGCCAATCTTACGAACTTTATTTCAGTTATCGTACCATCATGACGGTACATGTTCATATCCTATCAATTTCACTATCACAAGTACGTTAACTTCTTTTGCAATTTTGACTTGAAAAAAATATTTAGTAATCAGCTGACAAGAACCGAACAAATAATAAAATTATTCCTTGTTATTCTGCTTAAACCTTTTTCTCTTGCTTTGCTCGGTGAAATTTTATGTGTTTGTTGGTTTAAAATGTATCTAGATAAGTGAACTTTTAACCGAAAGAGATTGTACAGCCAGTGAAGTGTCACTGAGCCCTAGCCAAATCATCCAGCAGTTGGGTCACTGAATATCGAACAGATCGTCGATCCCTGCCAAGGTCAAGGACAACCAACGCACATCAGTTGATCGTATTCCATGGACTAACGAATGCGGTGGTTGTCTCTCTATCTTCTCTGTACTCATTCTTACTAATACATTTTCATAATAACGTCATTTGTGTCATACGATCTTCAAAGTAGCCTTAGTACTTTGATACTTCTAAGGGGTAACCCACGTTAGATGCTGACCGCGAAGTGTGACTTCGAAGTTATGTAGTTCATCTTATCATTCCCGTCAAACTCTAGTAGGCCTCCAATCATTCGACATAGATAACTTACGTTGGTGATCTACAAAATAAACTCAACCACTGTTGTAAATTAATTCAATCGACTTACAATGCTAAATCAAAATTGAGTCGGAACTAAAGCAGTTCCGAATTTAAGTAGTTAACGTATGCAGTATGTAAGTTTAAAACTTGTTAAAATTATTTTTTACACGGAATTACAGAAATAAAACCTTAAAAATTGAGGTATCTCATAGCCTATACACAATTAGTTAAATTTGGGGAAAAGAATGAAAACAGAATTTTGAACCATGAAAATAAGAAAACCTAGTAAATGTCTAAATTTAACAAATATATTAAGATTCAGTTTTAAAAAAGTGAATTTAACAAGAGTAGTTTTTGAAGAGTTTAAGTGTTTTATGAATTAAAAACAAACCACACTATCATTTTTGCCAACATTAACTATATTCTCAGCAAATTTGAAGCCTTCTGTTCAAGCGCAGTGCCTAGAACAGACCATAACCTTTTGAACTGTCATCAAAAAGATGTTGTAATGGCGCAGTCCAAATTCATCAAAAAAGACAAATAAATAAATAGCGATGAAGAGAACGTTTTAAGTAATATCGCTTGACACTATTTGTTTATCAAATCAAAAGTATCAGCCCAATTCATATTCACAGTGATTTACCATCATAGCAAAACACATTACGGAGTCTATGTGTTGATAAGTTATGCGTTACTTCATGTCTGTTATAGACATAAATAACATGTAAAGTAAAAACTTGTTCATAAAGATCTCACATATTAACCCTGGAAATAACCTCTTTCAAACCTCATTATTTATTCACTTTTATTTATTATTTTAGTGCGCAACTATATTTGGCATAGCTTACTCCAACTGTAACAGATTTTCGGTATTAGATTAAGACAATAAGTGTTACAGAGTATGAGAAGTACTTCAGAAATTATAGTAATGTAGTGAATGACAACTCGGGTACGGTAAAGCATCTTATTATTATCAGCAAAATTAAATAGTACCCTTGTAAAATATAAGAATCAAACCTCTTGTATAGAATGGTTATTTAGTGAATTTAACTCAAACTTCTTTTTCCTCTTTAACATCTTAGATTTTTGTTACATTACTTAATAAATCACCCGTGAACATTCTAGAACTTTCAGATAAAAGCATTTATAAAACCTAGTAAAACATTTTCAAATTCTATTTATATTCCAAACGACGTATTCTTTATTATCGGATAATTCGTTGCTTCAAATTCTAAACTGTTTAAGTTTTAAATAGTTAAATTTGTTAACCTAAATATAGCTGAATAAAAAGCAACAAAATACGATGATCTTATTGTATTCCGCAAATATGTTCATGCTTTCTTTGTTTAAAATGTATTGCTTTGGTTGGTCCACCTATTTTGTAAATTTCATAATTGTCATTGAGAATAGGTTAACAAAATTTTTTTTGTTGCTGATAAGACATTTCCGTGTCACTTCCGGTTTGAATTACTGCAATCTAACGATGTAACTATTTTTTTAAATTTGAGATGCTATTAAAGTTAGAGCTTTAGGAGAGTAATTTTATTGTCTATCAACAAAAAAAACGATATTTGTTAACAAGGGAAGCCTAAGTCAGTCAGTCGGTCAGCTACAACGTAAGACCAGGCACATATATGCGACGGTCCAAGTTGCCACACCCCGTTAGCACAACAA